ATGTGTCCCAGCGCGCTTGCACGTGTTGCACATGCATGCGTGACGGCTGCACGTGCAAACGTGTCCGCACACGTGTGTGTGAGCTTGGAGGGTGCTCCCGCTTGCACACGCGTGTGTGCGAGCGTTCCCGCCCGCCGGCAAGGCAGCTCCGTGGCGAAAGCGCCGGGAACTGCTTGTTCTCGGGATGAGGTCACCACAGAGGATGTGGGAACGGGCACGGCTCTTAGGGAAAAGCCGGAGCCCGGCGGCCTCGGCGTTCCCGACCTGCTGCTGGCAGCCCCTTCCCTTTCCCCCCCGCCGGCGTTTCCGGCCTTCCCAGCTCCCGTCCTCATTCCCTGACGTCGCTGGAGTTCAGCCTGGGAGCCTGAACTGGGGTTGCTTGGGGTGACCCCCGTGTGCGTCAGCCCCAGGGTCGCTGTGTCCCCAGGGTGGCACCTCTGGGTGCAGAGGAGCTGGGGACACTCCAAGGTCACTGTGTCCCCAGGGTGTCACCCCTGGGTGCGTGGGACCTGCAGATAGATGCCCCAGGGTCACCGTATCCCCAAGGTGACACAACTGGGTGCACAAAACACCGGGATGCTCCAGGGTGATGCAGAGCTCTCATGTTCCCATGTGGGCCCCAACGTGGCCCTGCCACAGTGGGGACAACCCCCCCATCCCCAGGGGACAGCGTAGGGTACAGGTAGCACCCATGGGTGCAGAGAGCTTGGAGCCACCCAGGGCCTTCCCCAGTGCCCATTTTCTGCACTGTGAAGGGGGTGACTTTGCAGCTGGAGCCAGGGGATGCTGGAGACAGTAGATTCCGAAGCTGGCGGATTCCAGAGCCAGGGAATGCTGGATCATTCAGGATGCCGGAGTCCAGGCAATGCCGGACGCTGGAGCCGGCAGATGCCGGAGCCGGCGGATGCTGGACGTGACCGATGCCGGTGCCGGACAGAGCGGATGCCGGAGCCAGCGGATGCCAGAGCCAGGTGGCCAGGGGGGCTCACGATGCCGGCAGGGCCTGGAGAGGGGAGTGTGACCGGGGGTGACAGGGGGGTCCCACCCATGGGACCCCTGCCCGCTGCCCTCCGTGCGGCACCTCAGGCTCACAGCAGCACCGGGACACAGAGCCCCTTTGTGCCACCGCGCCGGCTGGCACTGACACCCTTTGTCCCAGGCCGCGTCACCCTTTTGTTCTGCCGGGGACGGCGCCGTCGGTGCCCGTGTCCCAGCTGGCTCCAGCGACGTCTCCTGCAGCCCTGTCCCCATCGCCGGCGCAGGCGACCCCGAGCTGGGCCGGGACACCGGGGCG